TCTTTCTTTCTTTCTTTCTTTCTTTCTTTCTTTCTTTCTTTCTTTCTACTCATCAGGACAAACTTTTCTATAATAACTTCCAAACTTTCTAAGTAAATAATAAAGTATTTAACGGGAAAAGTCAAATTCAGGCAATCCTTTAACTCAGTAAATAACAAAGGACAGAAGGAAAACAGCTTAGCTTTTTACCGGAATCTGAGTTAAGAAATAGGGGCAACAGAACAAATAGCAAACAACCACTTGAGTTACATCAGAGTGGAGAGAAGCGATGACCTGGGTTTCCAGTCTGAAACTGTTACACAACATAATTAGTAGAACTGAAGAGTTACCTATTACACGTTAGAAATTGCTCCAGCGGCTTTAAAAACAAAAAAAGAATAGCTTGCTGAGAGTACAGGTAAGTGCCACAATTTCATACGGCCGAGAATGCTGTTGCTGTTGGACAGGCCCACCCTCAGGCACATATGAGGAGCAGTAATTGAAATTTAAGGTGGTATAAAACAAAGTGAAGTTAGGAGGGGATGTGTTGTAGAGTACGTGGAGAAACTCAAAGGGGAATACGAGGTGAATATAATAATATTTCACGTTTTCATATATGTAGCTCTCAAAAATAAAGAAAAAGGATAATTAGCCAGGTGCAGGTCTAATATCAGCACTCTGGGAGGCAGAAGCAGATAGATCTCTGTGACTTTGAGGCCAGTCTGGGCTACAAAGTGAGTCCAGGACAGCCAAGGCTACATAGAGAAACCCTGTCTCAAAAAAAAAAATAAATAAAAATAAAAAAATAAAAATAAAAAAAAGAACAGAAAATTATAATATAATTAAAGATCAAAATAAACTGTTCCCTCTTGTTAATTACAAACTGGTGACATTTTTATACCTAAGAAAAATGTGACCTCTATTCATGTCTTAGACGAAATTATACTTTAGTTTTCCTCTTTGCAGGTGGCAGTTTATTAACTTTAACATCTAAAGGCAAAGCTTCAGATGCTCTTTGGTTTTAGGAAAAAGTACAAAGCTTCTCTGATGAACACAACCATAAAAGGCTGAAATAAATTTTATTGGATATGTAATCCAATAAAACTTCCTGTAAGTGGGAGAAATTGAAAATGTAAGAGTATTGGGGTTTGCCCTCACTTACTTTTGTATTCCTTGTAGTGAAACTGATTTCCTCATGTTGTTTCTGGATTAAAGCCAGAATCAACTTTGCCTGTTTCTAATCAAATAACAGAGAAGACAATATAGAACTCCTGACTTCAGTTAGATGTTCCTGGGAGGCTGTGTCTGCACTGAGCCTAGCTGAGCACTGATTCATTCTGACTCGAGGTAAGTTATCATATGCACTCTTGACTAGACCGCGATAATGCTGCCTTTTCCGCAAGAATGACTGGCAGTCACCACAATTCAAAGAACACCCATTGGCTTCTGAGAGAGGTTGGGATGGTTGACAAGTATGAAGATCTGCAATCTGGAGGAGAGATTTAGAATTTAATTAGCTTCCAGTCTCTTTATATTTTGAGTGAGTCAGATGGGAATTCAAAACAGATCTTTCCATCTCAGCCTAGAAGATGAAAAACAGAATAGACCACATTGTAATTTGGGCTTCCCAAATGCTTTTCTTTACTTCAGCTATTTGGAGAGCAAATATGTTTAGCTTGTTAGAGCTTTTTAAAAGTATAAATTCTTAATATAAGTAACAAGGATAGAGTTATATTCCATTTTCAGGAAATGAGGGCAAGTTTGGAAAAAGCAGCATATCCAGGGTCTCTCCGCCTATGCTTATGGGTAAAATGTTAACTGTCTATATTAAGGTTTTAGCCCATGTGTGGCTGCTAACTTAGAAAACACACTGCCTTCAAAAACTTTTTTTCCTTCTTTTAATTTTCTTATTTTATTGAAAGGTTTCCCCTACCCTCTCTCTACTCTTCTGGGTTCCTTCCTACCTCCCCTCCCATCTGGATCTACTCCCTTTCTGTTTCTCATTAGAAAAACAAGCAGGCTTCTAAGGGATTAATATAAAATAATGTAATATGAGAAAGCAAAAAACTAACATATTTATAGCTGTACAAGACAAAGAGAAGGAAAAGAGTCCAAGAAAAGGCACAGAAAACAGACTCACTTGTTTGCACATTCAGGAATCCCATAAAAACATTAAACTGGAAGCTGTGAGCTAAGCGCAGAGGACCTGGTGCAGCCCTGTGCAGGCCCTGTGCATGCTGCCTTAGTCTCTGTGAGTTCATATGTGCATTGATCATGTTGGTTTAGAAGGCCTCCTTTTCTCTGTGTCCTACATTCGCTCTGGCTCTGACTCTCTGCCTCCTCTTCAGTGGGGTTCCCTGAGCCCCGAGGGAGGGGTTTGATGAAGACACACTGTTCTGTGCTAAGGGTTCCAAGGTCCCTCACTATCTGCATGTCTGGCTGTGGGTCTCTCTATTTCTTCCCATCTGTTGCAGGAGGAAGTTTCTCCAATGATTGCTGAGCAAGGCCCTGATCTACTTCACTGTCAGAGTCCCTTCTTTTAAATTTATTTTGTCTTCTGTCCTCTCATAATGGTCTATTCAAAACACAACATTTAAAAAAAATTATATGTTACTAACATACTATGTTTTGTTATTCTACTTATAAAAGGCATGTATGAACCGTAGCAGATGTTATTTCTAAAGCTAGACATTTTTGCCTTTAAGTTTAATGCAGTACACTTTGTCAGGTTTCAAACTGTTAGTCAGAAATGGGTCATGGTGGGTGGCACATGCAGGTACCACAGCAGTTGGGGGGGGCAGAAGCAACAGGGTAATAATCCTGTGTTCGAGTCCTACCAGGTCTACACCAGACATTTCAGGTTAGCAAGAATGATGTAGGGAGACGCTGTCTCAAAAATGTCACACACACAATCTCTCTCTCTCTCTCTCTTACTGGGTAATGAATTAAAATTTGTAGCCTTAAAACTACTTATTTAGGTTCTGAAAACAGAACCAAGAGCCTTACTCACACGAGGCATCTTCTGCCACTGAACTACATCCCCAGCCTCCTTAAGATAATCCGTATTGAACAATATAGCCTATCTGAGAGCAGCTGTGTGAAGATAATTTAAGGGATAATTAGTGCTACAATAATTTTCAAGTATAATTACTTATATTTCAAAATACCTAAAGCAAAAATACTATAAAAAATATATAACCAATCACGTGAATGCTAAGGAATGGGGTGATATTAGTATAAAGTAGATGTACAGAATAAACATGAACAATGAAGACTAGCTTTTCATCACATTTATCTGTCTGTCTATCTATCTATCTATCTATCTATCTATCTATCTATCTATTTGTGTTTGTGAGAGAGAAAGACACAGACAGACAGACAGACAGATAGGTGATGTGTGTACAGGTGCAGCCATGTCTGAGGTCATAGGACAGCTTTCTGAGAGTCATTTTTTTCCCTCCCACCATGAGTTCTGAGAGTAAAACTCAGGTAGTCAGGTGTATTAGTTACTTTTCTGTTGCTCTGATAAAATACCATGACCTTGGTACCTGACGAAAGGGTTTATTTGTGCTTACGGTTCCAGACCTCATGATTGTAAGGTAGGACGGTAGGTATAGCTGAAACAGTAAGTAAGAGCTCACATCTTGAAACACAAACAGGAAGCAGAGAGAACAAAGTGGAAATGGCTAGAGGCTTTAAAACCTCCAAGTTTGCCCCCAGTGGCTCACCTCTTCCAGGAAGGCCACACCTTCCAAACCTACCCAAACAATGCCACCAACTGGGGACCAACTATTCAAATGCCTAAAACTGTAGGGGGCATTTCTCATCTAAACCACCACACAAGGCTTTCTACAAAGCACTTTTATCTGCTAAGCCATGTCCTTGCCCTTTGAAAATCTGCCTTTTTTCAAAGAAAAACTTTTGGGAGGCAGAAGCAACAGGATAATAATCCTGCTTTTGAGTTATACCAGGTCTACACTCGTTCAGGTTAACAAGAGTTACACAGCAAGACCCTACATAACTTTTTCAGATTTTCAAAGAAAACTTTGTAATACTCCCAACAATTCTTCCACAATGAGGTAGATGTTGGATAGGATTGCAAATCAGGACATGTAAGATTTAGAAGACTTAGCATATTCCTGAGAATATGCTTGATAGGAACATTAATATTAAACCCTTTGGAAAAGATATGCCGTTCCCAAACGTCTTCTTTTTTGAAGATCTGCCAGACAAGGGGCAGCTTTTCAGTTGGTAACACTAGTCCACAAGAGACAGAAGCCTGTCGAAATGTTTTCATTGGCTTTAAAGATTTTTTTTTTTCTACTAAATATAACGCTAAGCAGGATTTCCTTAATTTGGAAAAACCTTTCTTTCTTTGTGTATTTACTTACATGTGTGGTGTGTGTGTGGTGGATGTATGTGTGAATGCAGGTCAGAGGGCAAATTTGGGGTATCTCTCCACTCCTTCCACCATGTTCTAAGGACGGAGGGTCTGTCCTCCAGCTTCTTAGCAATTCTCTTTGACTGCTGAGATTATCTTGCTGGTCCCCTAAGCAATATTTATATGTTAAATAATGTATAGTATAATAGGTATATGTGCATATGAAACTATGTATAATAGACAAATACATCTTCCAAAGCACTTTTTTTTACCTGTTTTTTAGCTTTTATGTAATGTTTATATATTGTAGTCCTCATGCCCTAACCTAATGAGAGACAGGATTACACTCGACACCACTGCTCTATAATGTCTCTCTATATTTTTAAAAAGTTTATTAAATCTATCTACAATTCTCTATACTCGCCCCTCCAATTCCTCCTTATCCATACTGCCACTACTACTAATCTCTCCCAAGTTCATGTGCTTTTTTTTTTTTTTAACACAGTGACCTTTTATAAAAACCTTCTGCCTCTATGTCCGTGGGTGTAGGACCATCAGTTTGAGCCTACATAGCCTCACGGAGGCTATGCCTGTGAAGAAAGCTATCTCTTTCTCAGCAGCCACCAATTGCTAATAGTTCCTCAGCAGAAGGCAGGACTTTGGGACTCCTTCTCCTACCCATGCTTGGACTTTGCTGGGAATAATATTGTGCAGGTTTTATGCATACAATCAGAGGCTCTATAAATTCATGTGAGTATGAACTCTCATGTCCAGAAAGCACAATTTCAAATGAAGTCATCAAATACCTCTGCCTCTTGGAATCTTTCCGGTTCGATTATTCTATTCCTGATGGCTAAGCATGTTGAACATTAAAAAAAAAAGTTCTTATCTAGATTTATATTTCATCTTTGAGAACTCTCTGTTTAGTTCCAATGTTCACTTTTTAATTAAGTTATTTGTGTGTCACTGAGTTATGGGTTTTTGGTTTTTGTTGTTGTTTTGAGTTCTTTGTATACTCTAGATACTAATCCTCTGTGTAGCTGGCAAAGATTTTTCCTATTCTGTGGATTGCCTCAAATGAGCAGATTCTTTGTCATGGCTTTTTAGCCTTGTGGGGTCCTAGTTATCAATTTTGGTCCTTAATGTCTTCACTTCTGGTATTCAATTCAGAAAGTACTTTCCTGTGCCAATGACCTCTTTGAGATTCATGGTATCAGATCTTATGTTGAGGTTCTTCATTCATTTGGAACTGAATTTTTTTTTTTTTCATGATCAGAGATAAGGATCCAATTTTATTTCTCTACACATAGCTATCCAGTTTGGCTAGCAACATTTTTTGAAGATGATGTCTTTTCTCAAATGTGTATTTTTTGCACCTTTATCAAAATTCAGGTGTCAGTAGGAAGCTGGGTTTTTATGTGGGTCCTCGATTCTATTCCATTGATCAATGACCTTGCCATTCTAAAACCATTTCTATTGATTCCAGGGGAACTGAGAACTTCCTGATTTGTAGGTGTGGACTTGAATAATTGTTTAAATGTTAATTCATTTTGCTCAAACATTACTATTCACTGGAATCAACTGGCAGTCTTCAACACATTCTAGTGTCTCATACCTGTCATCCTAGTTTACTCAGGAGAATTGTCCCAAGTTCAAGGCTAGGCTGGGAAACAGAGTGATTTCTAGTCCAGTCTGGGCTATAGAGTAAATCTTGTCTAAATAAAGAAGTAAATAAACAAACAAATACACACACACATACAAAATAACAAAACAACGGCATTAAAAAAACAGAACAGAACAAAGTTCTAAGGCCTTACTACTGCCACCTATAAGTCACAGAAATTAATCTTCGGACTTTGAGCCCACCCCCACCCCCGATCTCAGTGAGTAATGCAGTATAGAAACCATTTGTTTTGCTACAAAAATGGTAGAGAACGTGATTGGTGAAAATATTAGCAGTCATATGTTCTATCGGAATACAAATGGGCCAATAAATAATGCAGTTGACTCCCAGCAGGAATTATATATAAAACTTAAAACTGTACAAACATTTTTCATTCTTAGCTTCTAAAGTTTATGAGAAACTCACCGTTATGACAGCACCCAGAAGTTATTCTGAGCCTGAGCAAATGTTTTCAACAGGAGTCATGACTTCAGGATTGGTTTGAAGAGCTTGAGATACAAAGTTTAGCAGGAGAGAGCTTCCCTGAATGCTTGAGGCTCCTGGGGTTTAATCTTCAACCCTGAAAAAGGCAATCATAAAGAATGGAAGCCAGGCATTCCAGGTAGAAGTAGGAAAGTCTTGAGTTTGAAGTCAGCCTGGGCTGCATAGACCTTAGAGAGACCTCAGCTGCTGAGACCTTAGAGAAAGAGCGTGAGGAGGGGAGGGAGCAGGAGGGTAAAGAGGTAGGAGGGGAGTGAAAGGGAGGAGAAACAGTAGCTGTAATGTTAGATTTCTCTCACAACTTTAATAAAGCAGGACTTAACATTTTACATCATCATGATTTCTTGCCTACATATTAAGGTATCAAGACAGTGTACAACACTTGGGAATCAGAGGCAGGTAGGTCTCTGTGAGTTCAAGGCCCAACCTGGCATACATAGCAGTTCCTGCCCAACCAGGGGGCTACATAGTGAGACCCTGTCTCAAGAAAAAAAAAAAAAAAAAAACAAAACCAAAAAAAAACACTGTGCACCAACCTCCTCTTATAATTTTCTTCTTCTAAAACTAAAGAGTCCCTCACTTAGAAGACATCATTGCCTGGTATTCATTTAGCACATGCATGCCCAGATATCTAAAAACACTATCTTAAAATGTCTGGACTGCTGTGAGGTGGATAGGAACCTCACCTCCACTTTACAGAACAGGAACACTTTAGCAAGTTACCTAAAGTCATACAGCTAGACGCTAGCTGGGCCGAAATACGGTCCCAGGTCTTTCTGCATAAGGAGCCGGTTCATTTCGGCACTCTCACGAAGCAGCACACTTGAGCCCTTGATGAAACTGAAGCCCTATGTGTGCTTGTGTCATCGAGCAGGTTCAATTATTTCTAAGCTTTGATGGAGTTGATTCCCATCATTCCGTGTGACGGAGGGCTGAATGGTAAGTAGGGGATTCATTTCTGGCTAACCCTCCGGTGCTCTGGAGCTTTATCTGATGAACCAGTTGAGTCTGGTCTCATGAAGAAATCTTTTTCTTGTAGTTCTTTCAGACGGAAGAATGGGGGAGATTTTCAGCTTCGTCCTCATCACTGTTGCTCTCATAATGGTCAGGGAAACCTGGGTAAGCCTCTTGTGCAGACTATTGTATCTGTAAGACCTGCTAGAAGATGGAATTTCTTCTTAATTTCCAGAAAGCCTTTTATTACCTTTCCCCTACTAAAAACTAAAGGCGGAAGGAGTGAGAAAGTTCTGTGGCAATGTGTGCACATAGTAACATTTAAACACTTTAAAAATGAAAACCAGGATTTACAACAAATCAGTGAAATATTTTTAAGCAGCTGTGTTATTTCCATTTTAACAGGATAATCAGGCACTAAAAGCAGCCATAGTAGTTAACGTTGGTCTTGGGTCAGTATTGAACATTACTGGCATTTACCACCAAGATTGTCTGCAGGTCATTTCAATGAACTTGTGTCTCCATTTAAGAGTCCCAAAGGTCGAAACACTAACTTATTTGAAATTCTGGGAAAAATAAAATGGCTTTCTGGTTGAAATAGCATTCTGAAATGGGAGAGGGAGACTGAATAGAGTGAAAGACTTAGTCAAGGTTTTATTTAGATTATTAGCTCCATTTCTTTTCCATCAACATGAGATACGCATTGCTTTGCAGGCCTTCGAGAATGACAACTGTTTGCAGGAGCAGGTGAGACTCAGAGCTCAGGTGCACCAACTTGAGACCCGGGTCAAACAGCAACAGGTCATGATCGAACAGCTCTTGCATGAGAAGGAAATCCAATTCCTGGATAAAGGACAGGAGAACAATTTCTTTGACCTCGGAAGCAAGAGGTATTATTCAGGTAGAATTGGTTTTTCTTAAACATTTCAACCATTTGTTCACTCACCATATGTAATGACAGTACTAGACATTCAGTAACTTTGGGCTTTTTCTTTGTTTGGTTTTTGATATTTTGTTTTCGTTTTCGACTCTGGTTCTCACTATGTAGCTCAGGCTGGCCTGGTTCTTAACCATCTTCCTCAAGAGCTGGGATTTCAGGTGTGCCCCCCCCCAACCCTCAGCTCATTTCACATCTTGCTAAAAAGCTACACTATTCCAATTATAAATAACATGACTCATTCCATCAATTTAAAATATCTTCTTCTATATTCTATGCTTTTTTCTCTAGATATGCCGAGAGATTATTTGATATGACTACTGAGTATCTGAGAATTTCTGTATCTTAATCAGAAATTAGGACAACATTGTTAAATATTCATCTATAAATGGCAGATTATAATGAGAATATACCTAAACTATGTTGTTTTTTCCTCCTTCCATGTATGCAATTTCCCCTTCTGCATTTTTTGAACTAGGTCTCTCTATGTTGTCTAGTCTAGTCTTTAACTTCAGAGTTAAAGAGTAAAGAGATTCTTCTACTTCAGCTTCCTAAGTAGTTTGAACCACAGGTGTGTGCTTGCATGCCTGGTTATTTCTTCTGAATTCCACAGTGAAAAAATAAATTACTGTAATGAAAGGATGAGAAAAGAAAAAAAAATCACATTTTTGAGGAAAATAAGAGTACTTTTTAGATATGTCTACTTAATGGTTTGGCATTTTTCTGATTAGGCCAACATTTCTCTACTAGAAATGAAATGATATTGAACTGTGAGCACAGTCTAACTATCACTGCATACATCACTATTCCCTATAGAAAAATGTCCCTTTGATATCCTGTGCATGTGAATGGCTTCTGTAGGAGGAAACAGTGATGGTTAGAAACAAAGACAATGCTGTCTAGAACTTTGTTCACAGTCTTCTCTATGCTGCACTGCCATGATCCTAGTCAATTAGGTCTCATCAGGAGTGGCTGCATTGTCTTCTTCTGTGGCCTGGTAATGCTGCTTCCCCCTTAGGGGGAGGAAATTAAAGAGCAGGCCGATCAGTTCTTGTCAGAGACAATCCCTGTTCCTATTACAATGGAACCCACTTGGATACTGAACTGCCATGGGCTACATCTGTGCAAAGGTCTTAGGGTTATCTCCATGTATAGTCCTTGGAAACCTCTTAGTCACAGGCATCTGTAGCAGAAAGCTGAAAGTGAAAAGAAGTAGGGTGGGGCTCTAAACCTGAAGTCCATCCCTAATGACCCATTTCCTAAAAGTTCTACAGTCTCCCCAAACAGGGCCACCATCTGGGGACAAAGTGTTTAAATGTGTGGGCCTATGGAGACAGTTCATATTTAACCTACGTCAGATCTGTACAATTTAGGCTTGGAGGAAAAAGCTCACCTTCCCTAGCTTTACCTAGATCCTAAACTCTCTCTGCTCAAACTACTTTGCCCTGGATGCCTCACCTTTGCTGCCCAAACTGACTTAGTTGAAATTTCCATTGCTGTAGTATATATCACATATATAATCCAGTCTGTCTTAAGAGTGCGAGAGACCAAATCTGGGAAATAATAGGTACTAAGGAATAAAGCAAGAAATCAGTTACCAGAAACTTCAACTCTAAATGGCAAGGTCAGAGCAGGATTGACTATGTAAGCTGGAGTGAGGTAGAGGAGTTTTATATGATAGGTTCTGTGTGTGTGTGTGTGTGTGTGTGTGTGTGTGTGTGTGTGTGTGTGTTATGATGAATAATAGATATTCTAGATAATTGTTTCTGGATATAACAACTAAAACAAATCTAGAAGTCAGTATATTTGCATTTAATATTCTCCATATGTGGTCCAAACATGAAATAGAAGAGGGAATACAATCTGAAATATAAATATGGGTTGATTATACATTGGTTTTTAGCATAGTGGCAAGGACTGACTTACAATAAATATATAATACAAATTTTAATAAAAATGTAATATAGGAACAGGAGAGATGGCTCAGTGGTTAAGAGCACTTTCTTTCACAGAGGACCTGGATTCAATCCCCAGCACCCACATGGTGCCTCACATCTTTCCATGGTTCCAATTCCAAGGGATCCGAAACACTCCATGGGCGCCAGGCATGCACATGGCACACATCATAGATACATACCCATACACATTAAATCAAATTCTAAAATTTATTAATTAAAAATTGATTTAAAATGTATTAGAATGTAACAGTCTATGCAAGCTCATTTAAAACACTTGATATTGTGCTTACATCAAAGTTTGCATGTTGGTGCTTTTAAATTTTAAAGTCTGTTTATGCATGTGATTTGCATAAATTAGATGTCTTTGTTCTTATTTATAAGTCACTATACAGTGAGTAAATTAGTTATTTCCCTGAATTATAATTTATCACATGCTAGCAAACATCTAATTACTTACAACCTAGTAATTTTTGCAAGTAATATATAAATCACATATGAAAATAGCATATAATTAAACTGTCTTTTTTAAGCACATGGGTGCTAATGACATGAATTAAAAGTTACTGTATCAAACTCACATTCATTGGTGACAATTGCAACCCATCTGTTTAGCTGATGATACCTGCTGCTCTACGATAGCTTCTACAGAAGCTTCCAGTTTCTATGGCAGTTCTTCAAGGCAGTATGGGTAGTAGTTAAAGAATATTCTCAAACAAACAAAGTCCAAAAGCCCTTTGGTTATCCATGGCCTCTGGACAAATTACTTGACCACTATCTTTCATGTTCCTCCTCATAAAATGGGAACGGTAAACCTTATTTATCATAAGGACTGAATGAGTTGTGGTTTTTTTTGTTTTTGTTTTTTTTTTTCTTGAGACAGGGTTTCTCTGTTTGTGGCCTTGGCTGTCCTGGACTAGATCTGTAGACCAGGCTGGCCTCGAACTCTCAGCAATCTGCCTGCCTCTGCCTACTAGAGAGAGGGATTCCACTTGCCTTCTTTTCTTCTCTGTCACCTGGGAATGAGTATGACTGTGGTAAGGCTGGTTCTGTCATGTCTGAGCATGCTCTGTAGTCTGGTTTGTGACCCCTGTTGCTAGTCTTTGAAAAACAAATTAATATTGCAAAGTACTTCAGGAATGATGGTACAAGCCTGTAATCCCAGTGCCAAGAAGTGTTTTGCAGATTGGGAGGCTAAAGCTAAGCAGACCAGTTGTTAGTTATTATTTAAAGAAATATGAAGCTGGGGTCAACCGATCTTCTCTGCAAGAGGTTTATTGAGTGGGTATGGAGGGAGGGGGAAACAGGACATGGTAGGGAGACAGAAAGAAAGGGAAAGGGGGGCGCTCCAAGAGAGGGAGGGAAAGAGAGAGAACATGTGTCAGGGTTGGCCCTTTAAGGGGCAAGGTAACCACGCCTTCCAGGTGTGGCCACCTGGCTGGTGACACATGATGACATCATAAGTTGCTGGGTAACCCAGGAGCAGACTGTGTTCCGAAATACTAACACTAGTAAAAATAGATAACCTGGAATATATAATCCTATTCTCTCAAAAACCAAACCAAAACAAGAACGTGGTTGCTGGGGGTGGGGAGTGGGGAGCCATTTTCAGTCTTTAGTTCTCAGCCTGGAGCTGCAGCCACCATTCTGAGACAACAAAGAAAAAGAGGACTCTTGTTTAGCTGGGAGGTTACTTTATGAAGCTGAAACACAGAGTCCTTAAGTGGCTTGCTTTTTGTGCATTAGAGGAACTATCCATATCACTGAGGGGAACACACTGTCAGAGAGAAGCTCACATAGGCTTTCTTTATGTAGCAGCTGGGCCTTCAGAAGTCTTAAAAAAAAAAAAAAGAAAAGAAAAGGAAAAAAAAGCCCTAGCCGGATATGGTGGCAAGGCCAGCCTGGTCTACAAAGTGAGTCCAGGACACACACAGATAAACCCTGTCTCAAACAAAACAAAACAAAAAGGAAAGGAAAAAGAAAAAAAAATCTATAAAAGTCTGGAAAGATGGCTCAATGCTTGAAAGCACATGCTGTTCTTGGAAAGGACCTGAGTCTGGTTCCCAGCAGCCATGTTAGACAGCTCAAACTGCCTGTGACCTCAGCTCCAAGGAATTCAATTTCCTCTTCTGACCTATACTCATTTACTCACTCATGCTCATACTAACCCTCCCCCCCATACACATGATTTTTAAAAATTGGTAAAATATATTAAAAGTCCTATATATTCACAGCTTTCCAATCGGTCCTCCCCCCACGTGTATGCCAGTGAATTGAGTGGGTTGACATGCTTCAAACCTGATGTCTGGTTGATATTTTTAAATTTATTTACTTCTTAATTTATGTGTATGCATGTGTATCTGCCATGTGCGTGGGTACCGCTACCTCAAGAGGACAGAAAAAGGCATCTTATGGCCTGAGATTGGAGTTTCACCATGTGGGTGCTGGGGACTGAACCTAGGTTCTCAGCCAGAGCACCAGGTGATCTTAATGCGGAGCCATCTCTGCAGCCCTCTAATTGATTTTTTTACGATTTCTTTTTTATTATGTATGCAGCATTCTGACTTCATGTATACCTGCACTCCAGAAGATGGTTGTGAGCCGACATGTGGGTGTTGGGAATTGAACTCAGGACCTCTGGAAGAACAGCCGGTGTTCTTAATCTCCGAGCCATTTCTCCAGCCCTCTAACTGACATTTTAATCTCTACTTTGATCAAAATTTTTGCTATCAGAGTTTAAGCCAGGCTTCTCCCATGACAAGATCCTTAAATTGGTTGTTCTTTATAAACTATTAACTTTTTTGATTTTTTTTGTTTGTTTTATTTGTTTGTTTTCTTTTATTAAAAACTTTCCTCAGATGTTTAGTTGGTTTTGGCATTTTCTTCTAGGGAGAAGAAAATTTAAAAACAAACAACTAAAAAAATGGCATGAAATAAAAACAAACAGAAAGTGTTGGCAGAAATCCCCAAATTAATGTAATTTTTCTAAAGCAAGCTAGAGTTAATCATTTCCATATTTGCCTGGAAAAAGAGCTTGAACTTTGTGAGTCTTTGCTATTCAGCTCTTAGGGAGGAGAGCAACTATAAACAAGGGAGCTCTTTCCTAACCAAGGGAAAATATGCTGACTTTAATGAAAGCCTTCTGTGACATACTTGAGCACAAGAAATAAGCTTTTAAATAACATTGAGTTAGATGTACATGGACATTTTCATCTTGTTCAGTTACCTAACAGAATTCCTTTTATAAAAAAGGCATACGCAAAAAAACACTGGTGTTGTTGAATCTTGGAAATAAACGCATGAACAAAGCCTAAATCACTACAAAGATCAACAGCTCACCAACGGGAGTGCACCCGTGAAGTGAGCCCTGTGAAGTCTGTTTATTTTCTCTTCTGAGTGCCACTACCCACTGAACTTAATTAATAGGAATACATTTCATATTCATTGACAACCTGGCATCAAGACTGTGGGCTACAGAAAGAACTTAAAAACATTCTTTAAGACTTACATAATTCAGCCATGCAACAAATTTTAAAGAGAAAATAACAAAATGATAAAAGTAAAATATGAAAGAAATTTTACACAATTGCTTTCAGAATCTGTGCCTGGTTAACTCCTGAGGGTGTTTTTCTGCAGTGGGCCCTGCTCCAGTTATGGGCAAGCTGCCCCGACATCTACAACATCTATATAATACTTAACCACACCCTCCGAACCTGCTCAAATCAGCCTAGAAGAGTGTCTGTCAACCTTTCTAATGCTGAGACCCTTTAATACAGTTCCTCACGTTATGGCCACCCTCAACCATAAAATTGTTTTTGTTGCTACTCCATAACTGTAATTTTACTACTGTAACGAATTGTAATGTAAATAACTTTGGAGCCAGAGTTCTGCCAAGTGGGTCGTGACCCATAGGTTGAGGAGCACAGGCTTAGACTCAGACCCAGTGGGTATGAGCTAACCCCATCTCAAGTGACTTAAGAAACTAATATTACTTTTTTTGTGGTAAACTAGTCATTATTTAACTTCAAAAGCCAAAGAAATACCCTTGCAAAGAAAAATGCAAGCATAAAAAAGAAAACGGAAGCATGAAAGTTTTCAATTTTTAACAAAAACATCCAAGAATGTGTGGGTTATTTTTTAAAAAAATATAGTGAAACTGGAGGATTATAAAAACTTATCGAGATTACTGGACTTTCAGTACCAAATATTCAATAAGATTTTATTTAAGTCAGAATAGTTTATATTACAATATTTGTACAATATTTGTATGCTGTCACATTTATATTTTCTTTCCCTTCCTTCCTTCCTTCCTTCCTTCCTTCCTTCCTTCCTTCCTTCCTTCTTTCTTTCTTTCTTTCTTTCTTTCTTTCTTTCTTTCTTTCTTTCTTTCTTTCTTTCTTTCTTTCTTTTGTTTTTGAGACAGGGTCTCTCTGTCCTCTGTGTGGCTCTGCCTGTCCTGCAACTCACTCTGTACACCAGGCTGGCCTTCAACTGCTAGATCCATCTGCCTCTGCCTCCCAATCGCATTGATCTTTTCGCTGTCCAATTTCACTAAGCTGTCCAATGAGTGACAAGTTTCACTTAAGTACAGAACAATAAACTAAACACAGATGATTTGTTTTTGTTATTTTTGCTACAAAAATAATAAATGTTCCTTATTTCATTCATTCTCCTCGGCCAATCTTATCAAGAAGTCAATGATAATGAAATTATAGGAAAGAAAACAAGATTTTCTGAATATCCACTAGAAGATGTACAATATGTTATTTATTTATTTATTTATTTATTTATTTATTTATTTATTTATTTATTTGTATGTGTTTAAGTTTTGCCTGAATTCGTGATGTCCATGGGGTTCGGAAATAGGTGTCAGATGTCCTGGAGCTGCAGTTACAGAAGGTTATAAGCTACCATGTGGATGCTGGGAACTGAACCTGGGTCCTCTGGAAGAACAAGTGTTCTTAACCACTGACCCATCTCCCCAGGCCTGGTGGCATTTCAAGAACTACTTTTGTATTCCATTTGTTTTTATCTGTCTCCACTGATACTGGGTTTCAGGAGCAAAGACACATAACCTTGTTTACATCACCTTGTTTTGTAAACAGATTGTTCAGAGATTTACAATGATGGGTTTAAGCAGAGTGGATTTTACAGAATCAAACCTCTCCGGAGCCTGGCGGAATTTTCCGTTTATTGTGACATGACTGATGGAGGAGGATGGACCGTAATTCAGAGACGATCTGATGGCAGTGAGAACTTTAGCAGGTAACTGCTTTTCCTTTCCTTGTTTGTTTGGTTTTTGGTGTTTTGTTTTGTTTTTTGGTTCTTTGAGACAAGGTTCCTCCATGTATCCCGGGCTGTCCTGGAACTTACTCTGTGGACCAGGCTGGCCTCAAACTCACAGAGATCCATCTGCCACTGCCTCCCCAATGCTGGAGTTAAAGGCATGTACCAACTACTGCCTGGCCAATAGGTAACTGATTTTAACAAGTAATTATTTGCTTTAGCAGATGTGAGATTTGTGAGTTAAGCCTTCTTATGTCTCAAATTTATTAATGCAACAAAATTTTACTTTCCCATTTTTAAGTAAGAAAACAGATAGTGAGTAAGCTAGTCAAGAGAGTATTGGAGATGAGAGAATGTGAACAATACCATAGGCACTGCATGTGTCCATTTATATTTTGCAAAAACTGACTTTCGATTTAAACATTTTAGGGGTTGGAATGACTATGAAAGTGGCTTTGGAAAATTTGTCCAAAACAATGGTGAATACTGGCTGGGTAACAAGAACATTAACTTACTGACTATGCAAGGTAAGCTTTGCACTTACATTCAGGAGGCAAAGGGTTGTAGATTCAGTCCCTGGTACTACAAAACAAACAAAGCCCTCGAAGTATTTTCCCCTAAGTCATGGGCAATAGAACCAAGTCAGTATCTATCATGATTTTTTAGATGTCACAATACTTTCTGAGCCATAATTAAGTAAAATGCTACTTAAAGCAGGGGAGAGAGGAAAAGAGACTAGGTTGGTTGGGAGTATGTATTTTCTCATATGTATTTTCCGTTCCTTGAAAGGAATTGTGTTGTCAAAATCATTGTTAAAGACTCGAGTGACTCCTAAATATATGTAAAAAAATTTATCAGCACAATTAGACCTTGTGATGAGCCACAATAGTAGTAGTTAGGGTGTGTGTGTGTGGGGGGGGGGGTAGAGAAATGACTCAGAGATCAAGAGCTTTGTGTTGCTCCTCCCAGCACCCACATCAGGTAGGCCACAACAGCCTATAACTCCAGCTCCAGGGAGTTTAGTTTTCTCTTTTGGCCTCTGAAGGCATCCACACATGTGGCATTACTCCCACAGACACCCACCTGTGCACATAAAAATAAATCTTGCAAACATAAAGCAGACACCTTAAAGTGAGTTATGAACCCCTATACAATCCTCCCGTGCATGTTCACTTGTATGTTGATAACTAAAGTTCAATATTTGTCTAAAATTTTACGTTCGATAACAATTTTTCAGTATCTTATTTTTTATATTCTTTTGCTCCCATCCATTACCCTCCTTAGCTTGCTTATGGATTGAGCCTGTAGTCAGCCCCCTTTAGGTCTGGTACTCAATATCTCATAAGGCACAGTTGCTTTGCCCAAGAAAACAGGCTGAGTCACGCGGCAGTGCAAAGGCTTATTTGATTCAGCCAAGCTCAGGCAACTGCTGGTTAGTCTATTTTCAAAACAGTCAGCAGGGTGTTCTTACAAGGGTCTTTGAGACCTGAGAGTGGTAGCTGGAGGGGCTGCCTAAGTGTAGTGTATAGTGATTTCTCCTGTGATCAGTGTTCTCTAAGTTACATAGTTTCCTTTTCCTCAACATATAAATTATCCTAAACTGGGTGTGGTGGGGCACACCTGTAGTCCCAGCCCTCAGGGAGGCAGAGGCAGGCAGATCTCTCTGAGTTTGAGGCTAGCCTGGTCTACAAAGTGAGTCCAGGACAGACAGCCAAGGCTACACAGAACCCCGTCTCGACAAACAAACAAACAAAAAATCCTAGTTTTAAGAGATTTTTTTTTTTTTGCCAGATATATGACACTTATCATAGCAGACTGTGGTCCTTTTGCATATTAGTATTTTTTTATGGGTCATTGTTTAAGCTTTGGAAGTCCCAAGTAGAATCTGTTTGTCATTCCAAGCATATGAAATTCAATCTTATTTCTCAAGTTATTTGTATGTGTTATTTTTGCTCTGATGGACATTTTCCACAAATCTGATTCCCCTTCATATTTTCTTGCTTGGTGCTGGGTGTGTAAACGGGACCCCCACACATGGTAAGCATGTATTCTAACACATATCCACGTCCCCATGCTTTTCAGCTTCTCATCTGGTGTTCGAGCTGGTTACTCTGAAGTAGTATAGAGGAATGGATCTATCAAATCCATGCCTTGCATCCTATCATAGCTCAAACAATAAAAATTGCCTTTTTCCTTGTGTTCTTTAATTTTGACAGCAGTGAAGGAGACTCAAATTGACTCGGAAAACAGCTTTATTCTTATTACCCAAGGTTCCCCCTGCTTGGAACTGCCGGCAATAAAATTAATTTAGAAATTATTTCTAATTGCAAGTTTATTCATTCATTGACAAAAAATTTAGACAGTTATTTTTTTTAAAGGGTGGAGTATTCTCTATCCACTAACAAATGCACTTTGGGGAATAGCTGACATATCCTATCTTACTGTGCCCATCGGTGTCACAGGCTTGATCATATGAGCTAAGGTAATACTTTTAGAGGTCTCCGTCTGAAGAAAACCCCCAAGAATCCAGAATTCTCAGCCAAACAGCTTTGAACTTTGTTCCGGAGATCCATTCGATGCTCTTCTTTTTCTGCCCTTCTGGGGCTGAGCCTGGGGGACAGGTGAAGATAACTTTTTACAACAGGTGTAGACATGTATGATATGGAGGTCCACAAGGTATGTCCAAGGCGCTTTATGGCACATCACTGAAGATGGAAAGAGGGGATGGGCGCCAACTGTGGACTGGGCTTCAGAAGGAAGGTCAGCTTGTCATTCACAAACAGGGACAATGGGAAAAAGGGAGAGGGGGTGATTTGGTGGGGCAACTCCTCCACTAATTTGTTTCACGTGACAATTTTTATCACCTAGAATTTTTACAGTCATCATGGTACCTCGTTTTACATTTAGAGATTTGTTTTCTACATATCCCCTTTTTAGCATACAGACATAAGAATGTATGCCAAATAAATTAAGTTTAACGACTTCCCCATTGGATAGAAACTTCAGAAAACCATCTTGACTCAGAATCACTGATATGCGTGATTCCCCACCACATAGATTTCTCAAGGAGACGCCCCTGCTTTGTCTAATACTCTTTTCTAACGCCATCTGTTCCACAGGCTTTGATGCTATTGGGAAGGTAGGTTTTCATAAAACAACCAGAATCCTTGTTTCTTCTGCAACTGGGTGTAAGACAATTTGCTAGCTGATCTTTCATTCTACCAGTAAAAACAAGCAAGTTCATCCACAAGCAGGTGATGATGACTATATTATGAACCACAGCCCAAGTTCTAGAGATTATGTCATTAATAGTAATTATCCTTAAGAATGAGATTCTTATTGAAATTAAGAAAAAAGGAATAAAATTTATAATTCTTAAAACTATGATCTTCAGTAGATTCCTCCCTTTCCCCCTCTCTCTTTTGAGTTTTTTGAGATAGGTTTCTCTTGTGTAGAAGGCTGTTCTGGAATTTACTCTATAGACCAGGCTGTCCTCAAACTTACTGTCTCTGCCTTCCTAGTGCTGGTTTTAAAGGTTTATACCACCACTGCTAGGCTAGGTTTCTTTCTTTCTTTCTTTCTTTCTTTCTTTCTTTCTTTCTTTCTTTCTTTCTTTCTTTCTTCTCTTTCTCCTCCTCCTCCTCTTCTTCTTTTTTGAGACAGGGTTTTTCTGTGTCGCCTTGGCTGTCCTGGACTCACTTTGTAGACCAGGCTGGCCTCGAACTCACAGAGATCCACCTCCCTCTGCCTCCCTGCATACTGGGATTACAGGTGTGTGCCATCTTTCTTAATCTATTAACTAAAAATTTACAGCTCTTTACAAAATGAATCATACTGTTATTTTTACATTTGTTTTTATTCTTTAGACTTAGCAGAAATTTTCTAGTTTACTCTTTTGCTGTCATTGTTTTCAAGTAAAATAAACAATAAAATGATTATATTATCTGACACCGGAGTCACTCTTTATTCTTTGAAAACTGATTCCTGGCAGAGGAAATGATAAAAGCAAAACAAAACTGCAATTTATTTTTAAACCTAAATAGTCAGTGTCATGTCATGTATTTAAAAAAAAAAAAAAACCCTACAGTTTCTTATTGTTTCTGTTGGATTTATTTATTTATTTATTTATTTATTTATTTATTTATTTATTTATTTATTTTAGGAGACTACACTTTAAAAATCGACATGACAGATTTTGAGAGAAATAGTCGCTTTGCACAATACAAAAGTTTTAAAGTTGGTGATAAAAAGGTACTAAAATTTTTATATGGGAAATATCTTGAGTTATGATGTTGAAAATATGCAACGACACCCCGAGTTCTGTGGAAATATAAATGTATAATATAACCTGTTTTGTTTATTTAACATGTTTTTAAAATGCTTCCCACTGACAGTGGAAAAATGCCCCTTTCTCCTTTAGTCTTCTTATGAACTGAGAATCGGAGAGTACTCTGGAACCGCTGGAGACTCCCTTTCCGGGACTTTCCACCCTGAAGTGCAGTGGTGGGCTGGGCACCACAGAATGAAGTTCAGCACGTGGGACAGAGATAATGACAACTACGAAGGGAACTGTGCTGAGGAAGAGCAGTCTGGCTGGTGGTTTAACAGGTTTGGTGCTTTACACACACTGTTGTAATGGCGCCTTGCACGCTCAGCTATAATGGTGCTTTGCACACTCAGTTATAAGGATGCTTTACACACACAGCTGTGTTTTATGAGTTCTAGGCCAGCAGGACCTTGCCCTTAAAAAAAAAAAATCCAAAGTGGTGTTTTTAATTTGCATGTTTTTATAATAAAGTTTATTTTTTAAAAAAGGAAGAAAGAAGGAAGAAATGTGTGACACTCTATTAACCAACTAGCTCTTCATCATCTCATATCTTACAAGATAACCACTATTACTGCTATAATTTCAATACTACTTTTCATCCACTGTGACTTTTATTAGTTCGTTGAATGCAAGCCTTCCGAATGTAGGAAAAAAATGCTATACTATTCTTGAAACTTAATCCTACCCTAGCTGCTGTTTGAATACTTTAACATTGTTATCAAGTTCATGCTTTTGAATTTAGAGGGGCTAGGGGACTGGGTTCTGGGGCTCAAACCTAGGGTCTTGTGTATGATGAGCAAGCAGTCTACCACTGAGGTACACCCTAGCTTCATTTTATTTTGGATGATACAAAGTTCTTTGTTTTATGAGCCTGAGATATGCTTTGTTAATTGTTGTCCTCTGCCACCTCCTCCTCCCATCTTAAGACAGAAGCTCAAGTAGTCCAGGTTGGCCTTAATCTCACTGTACAGCTGAGAATAACCTAAAAATCATGATATCACTGCTTCTACCTCCCAGATGCTGGAATACCTGCTATGTACCACTGTGCCTAGCCGAAATCTGCCTTCTTACCAGGTTTCCTCTCAGTAGCAATAGAATAGCTTCAAATCCATTTCAACATAATTCCTCAGGCCCTGAATGAGAAGTAATGCATTGTATCATTTAGAGTTTGTCTTGTCTCTGGGCCAAATGTCTCTGGTTCCTTTAACTGTTTTCCAAGGTGCATTTATTTATTTCTTGATCATACTGTTAGGAAGGGATGGAAACTTCATACAGTTTTCTTTTAAAACGATCCAGTTGGTAGGGGGTACTGGAGAGATGGCTCAGTTGTTAAGAGCACTGTCTACTCTTGCCAAGGCTCTGAGTTCAATTCCCAGCAACCACATGGAGGCTCAAAACAATTTATAAATGAAATCTGGTACCCTCTTCTGGCATGCACATGCAGATAGCACACTCATACACATAAAATAAATAAATAAATCTTAAAAACAAAAAACCCAACCCAGTTGGCCTGCTCTGTCTACAAAGCAGGTATGGGACTTGTTAGACAAAGCAGCAGCTTTGTAAGTCTGCTTATATCATTAGACAACGGGAGGCACCTCAAAATATCTTAACAATTAAGCTTTTTGTTCAGGAATCTTTAGCAATTATAGGGTGTCATGTTTTCCATATAACTGAAGACTAACCATGTAGCTCCTATAATCTTTATATTTTTTCTTAGTGTAAATAAAATATCTTAGAATCCATATGCTATAATGTGGACCTATTCTGTAAATGCTAAAATTCCTTAAAACCATGAAAATCTTTATTATGACTTCAATTGTTGTGCTGTGTTGGTTTTCAATTAATTAGTTCTGTTTGTTAGAGACATGGTCTCACTCTGCAGTGCAATCTGACCTCAAACCTATAGAAATGCTCCTCCCTTAGCCTCCTAAGTGCTGGAATTACAGGTGGAAGCAGTCATGCTTGGCTGATTTTAGAGAGGTAGATTCAATGCAGACACCATGAGTTTAAGGTATTTCCATCAGTCAAAGTAAATGTAGACAGTTGTAAAAGTGGTAAGCTTCCCTATTACTTGGGTTTTACTCTTCCAAAAATTGAGTCTATTTAACATTTGGCCAGTTATTAAGAAAACAGAGTAAGCACAACAATGCAACAGGACAGAGAAGAAAAAGCATTAAATCATGTTCTTCTACTGTGCAAACTTAAGACATGGTGATAATCTTTTCCCTCTTGGTTTTCTTGGCTTTTGGTTTTGCTTTGTTTTGTTTTCTAAAGTTCTAAGTAAGCATTATTTAAGATTTACCTATAATTAACAACGTCATTAATGTCTGATTTTGAATAGACTTGAAAAACATCTTTAATATTCCTGAGGTCTTAAGTACATTATCCCGTTGGTTGGTTGTTCTGTGCCTGAACGGCAGTTGCCCACACATTAGAGAAGGCAAATAAATGATATAGTTGATAGAAATAGGGATTGGGGACAACAATACAAGCAGTTCAGTAGCAGGAAGTACCCAAGAAAAACAGGTCAACCTAGAGGGAAAGTAAATTGTTGCAGAAACTTTGTCTTTACTCTTTGTTTTCCATGTCACATCTAATTTATGTGACTTGCTGACGCTTACCGGTTTTTCTCACTACTGAGGCTGGAATTGCAGTGCCCCACAGGTTTATGTATTTATAGCCAGTCCTCTTCCAGGTTAGCTCCCTCTGTTTCCTAGTCACAGTCACATTAAAAGCAGCTGCCCTCGTTTCTTCCACTGGTGGGCTCACCCTGCGCTTTTCCACCAGGTAAGAGTCCGACCTCAGGAATCACTGGCCAACATTAGTCTTCCTCCCTGAAGTTGTGCTCGTATGGTCACAGCCAGGAGAAAAACAACTAAAACACTCAATGGCTGCCTCGTCTGCCTTGCTTGCTTAGCGATTAGTGCAAGGGTCGTGTCAACCCCCACCCCTACCAGCGGCCAGCTGCTGCTTTACCACGAAGCACCAATCCTCAATGACTAGGGCCGAGTCCAGGCTAGAAACTGAGGGATGCTGAAACACTGGTCTCAGAACACTAAGTAGGGGACCCTAAAGCCCATTTCTCAATAGGCTCCAAATCAGAGCAAATAGAAAAGTTTATGTAGCAGATGTCTACATATAAAGATATGTCCAAATATTTATCCTGAAAGTTTTTTTTCTATTTAAATCTTACTTCTTGTGGTACTTTAAAAACACAGTGGGTACCGAATCCCTGCAGATCTAGCATGCATGGTTCCAATTAGTCCTAATCATTTAAATTAGGAGGGCTGCCAGGATGGCCAATAAAAGCAAATCACAAGCTTAGTGATGATCTAAGCCTGCTACTTTGCATTTATGAAAGAATTATATGCTTTTCGGATTCAATGGCTAGTTTTTTCTTTTTCAGATTTTTTTTTCAGACTACTTCTGAATATTCTTGTAACCTAGAGTCTGCTATCTTTTCATTAGTTACAGCAATAACTAAATCTACGTTGATTAATATAACAGGAAAATTTGCACAAACTGTTACGTGAAATTTTTGTATGCCAAGGACAGATGCGTGTACAGACTCCAAAGGAGGAAGAAGGAAATGTTTACAGTTTATGGTACCCTGACAAACCTATCTAGATTGGTGCAGTATATGTAAAAAATTAACTTCTCAACTCAGACAAAATATTTGCTGATAGGCTAGGAAATTTTTAAAAGGAAGTTTGAGTCTGTGTGCTTATCTTGGAGATGAAAATAATTGCTATGCTAACAGTTTAAAGACGGGAGTTTGAGTTGTAAAAGATGCGTCTTGGCCGTAGACTGACGAACCTGACAGCGCAAACTACCCAGGAAGCTGCAGTAGAGCCCCTCGCCCCATGTGAAGGTTACAAAGCAGTTTTTCTTTGCTTCTTTTTCCTTTTTGTTTAAAAGTTACTAAGAACTCAAATACTAAGCCAAGTGATGGTGGCCCATGCCTTTAATCCCAGCACTAGGGAGGCAGAGGCAAGAGGATCTCTGAGTTTGAAGCCAGCCTGGTCTACAGTGCGAGTTCAAGGACAGCCAGGGCAGCACAGAGAAACCCTGTCTTAAACAAGCAAATAAACAACAAAATGAAGGGCTGGAGGGATGGCTCAGGGGTTAAGAGCACAGACTGCTCTTCCAGAAGTCCTGAGTTCAATTCCCAGCAACCACATGGTGGCTCCCAACCATCTATAGAGATATATGGTGCTCTCTTTTGGTGTAAGGTGTGCATGCAGACAGAACATTGTATACCTATTAAATATTAAAAAGAAAAAGAAAAAAAAAACTGAAATGCTTACTTTTCAACACACTCCAAGTAGTCTGGGACAGATTCTCACACTTACTAGAGAACCAAAACTCACCTGTTTAAACATCAACATTTGCTTGTAGAAAAGTCTCGGGTTTGGTAAAATGATACTTTTCTGAGAAATGGCAGAAGATATTGTCTAAACGTTTTGATCATTTCTTAGCAAGATAACTTTTTTTCAAGTGTATTTTAATTCTGATTGTCATGTTTTCTTTTGTTCTCCCACTAGGTGTCACTCTGCAAACCTGAATGGTGTATATTATCAGGGCCCCTACACATCAGAAACGGATAATGGTGTTGTCTGGTACACCTGGCATGGATGGTGGTATTCCTTGAAATCTGTGGTTATGAAAATTAGGCCAAATGACTTCATTCCAAATATCATTTAGTTGTTCCTATGGGGCTCTCCTTTCTGTAATTCATCTTGGTTGGAAATATTTGAAAAACATAATTCTGAATAATAGATGCCTGGTGATGGTAACTGTGTGTGAGTTTTCATTCTTCACACTGCCTTTATTCCTTAATATGCTTTGATTTCAGCAGATGCCCAGTATCCACCAATAAAGGCAGCTTATGTTAATGTTTACTGAGTACCTATGTGCATAGGGGTATGATAAAAGTTCAAACTGTATTAAAAAACTATAGACTAATTAACATGTTTAAATTTGTAATAATAAATCATGCGTGTCTGGGTGTGTTAATGCACGCCTTTAATCCCAGCACTTGGGAGGCAGAGGCAGGTGGATCTTTTTGAGTTTGAGGCCAGCCTGATCTAGAGAGTGAGTTTCAGAACAGCCAGGGCTACACAGAGAAACCCTGTCTAGAAAAAAATAATAATTAAATCAATAAATCATTTATGAAGGCAACTGACAGAGCATGAGAAAAAGCCCAGCAATTGATGGTATTTTGGTTAAAACAACGGCATAGATAAGTGTTACAAGTTGGGCTTTGAATTAAGGTCTCTGGCTATAGAGGTAAGATGTTAAGCACAATCCAGATTCTTAAATAGTATAAACAGTACTCACATCTTCAGGATATTTCTGCAAAACTACAGAGATTCCCCTTTTACACTTTTACAATGATCTTAGTTGATGGTGGAGAAGCGACTAGAGTCCTCATGTTCCTATGTCAGCCCTGGGAGATATCACTGTTGCCACTTAACAGAGCTGAGAATTTCTGGATGTGAGTTTTGGTTAATGCTCAAAATTATTTTTTAAATTTTTTAAAATTTATTTTATGTGTATGAATGCTCTATGTGTACACCCACATGCTATCTCATTATATATGAGATAATGATATATATAATGATATCTCATTATATGAGATCTGGGCATCAGATCTCATTATAGATGGTTGTGAGCCACTATGTGGTTGCTGGGAATTGAACTCAGGACATCTGGAAGAACAGTAAAATGCTCTTAACTGCTGAGAATCTCTCCAACCCTTAAAGCTCAAAAATTATAAGGTTAGTAGAGAAAAATTCAAATCCAAGTTGTTTGGTGTTAAGTAAAATTATTTACCAACATCCTGTGGCTCTTCTGAATAAATCTGGATTGGTGTTTTTGTTTGTTTGTTTGTTTGTTTTTTTGAGACATAGTTTCTCTGTGTAGCTCTGGCTTTCCTAGGACTTACTCTGTAGACCAGACAGGTCTAAAACTCAGAGATCTACCTGCCTCTGCCTCCCAGAGTGCTGGGCTCAAGGCCTGCACCACCATGTCCAGCTAGGATTAGTGTTTTTAAGTGAGGATAAAAGAAAGAACTTTCATAAGCTATTCGCATGCTAATTCTGTGCCAGGCCCAGAAGATGCTTCAGCCCACACAGCTAAGTGAGGAAGAAAAGACACACACCAATCACATAAACACAAAACTGAAAGTACTTTTTGGCCACTGAGGCCACCATAGGCAGGGCAGCAAGATGGCAGCCTCTTGCTGGTGTTAAGAGACCACTTCCATAATTTTACTGCCTCTGAATAATTTGACATCTTCAGCCTATTGGAACTGTGGTGAGAATGTCTGTCTTCACTCTGTTCTGTGCGCTATTCATTTCAGGCATATTCAGACAGCAGTGGTTTCGTAGGCTCCCAGGCTGGTCACTTCTGTCAAAAACCCCAACATGCAGACACACTGCAACAGTCCTTCATACAGTGGGTGCCTTGGTGCCCAGCATCCTCACTGCCAGTCAGAACAATAACATACAACCTGATGTGAAAGGACAAGAGAAATACGGTAAAAAGTGGCTATTCTTCCCTTCCCTTGCCTTTATTTTGGCTGTTGTCTATGGAGAAAGGCTATTTTTATAAGAAAAATTATAGAAAAAGTCAACTCCAAGAAGGAAGTACTTGAGAGGGTAAATGTTCTACAAGACCCACAGTAAATTCTTAGATGAAATGAAGATGACTTTTTGGAAGACTTTGCTCTTCTGATGAGTCTTATTAGAAGTACTGTGATGTAATGAACCTGAAGGTATACTTGAGCACTTTTACAGTTTCCAGGTTGTAAACTACAGATATCTGTATACAGGATGTCCTTGCAAAAATGGTTTGTGCTAAACTTGGTGTAAACTGCATCACCTGATAAGTAAACAAACAATACTGACTTTGTACTTACGAAGGTTTTAAAACTTAATAGCGCAAATATTCCTAGAGTTGGTCAAAAAAAATCTAAAAAGGAAAGTAAATATTTTCTTTTTCTTTTCTTTTTTTATTTTTCTGAGACGTGGTTTCTTTGTGTAGCCTTGGCTGTCCATTTTCTTTTACTTCCTCCACCTTCAGAAAGCACTTCCGTAGGTCTTTACCTGGAGGGGTGTCCCATATTTTCATTCTTGGAGGGTCTTGGTTATTTACCAGCCTGCTTATATTGGGTTGTTGTTTCCCAAAGACTTTAATCACAGAGCATGGCGACACCACTAGCTGCCCTAAAGGATCTTCAGCATTCCAGACAGTCTCTTCTTTACTTCTGTTGTGGAGAAACAACCCAATGACCTCCTGGTAACCTGGATGAATCACACTTCCTAACATAGTTAACTCTTCATTCATTCATTCATTCATTCATTCATTCATTCATTCATTCATTCTAGCCAATTGACTCCAGGATATCAGCAGCCCCAAAGAACCAGGAGGGAGTCTTAACTTCCAACTCAATGGGATATTTGTTGTCCCTACTGGCAAATGACTATTTCTCCTAGAACAAACTTTTTAGGCCCGAAGGACACAAGGCGACAGGAAAGGAAACCATTTTTTTTTTTTTTCTCTAATAAGTCACTACGGGTGACAGTGAATAGTTCTGGATATTTGTTTCTTTAATGTAGAACATTAAAAAAAAAATGCTCCACGGGACACACTTTGATAAGTCATAAGGAATTGAGGTCTGGCCAAATTTGAATAGTGTATTACGTGCTCAAGTAGCAGCCTGAAGGACTCATCCAATTAGGAAATCAAAAGAGGAAAAACTTTTAAGAAAAAAAAGGGATAATTCCACAGAGAAGAGGAAGGGGAGCTTAAGCAAGAGTGTTCCGTAAATCTTAGTAGAATAGTCTTCAGTACAGAAGGGATGAACAAGAGGGTTAAGATGTCAAAAAAAAGACTAAGGGTACTGGTGACTGACTGTGGGACTGAGTGAGAAGGCTGTTTGTGTAAAGTCCATGTCAGCAGAGTGGGAGGGAGCCTGAGGGTGAGGAGGACATTTGGGAACATGGTGTGAAGGAAAGTGGGCTGCTTTGATCTGAAGCCTGCGCACTAGGAAGACCAACATACTAGACCTCTTCAGCTGCGCATGTGCATTGGTCCAAGCTTGTGATTCCAACAGGTAGGAGGCTGAAGCTTGAGGGAGAATTGGAGGCTAGTCTGGATGGTGTTTAGACGCTGTCTTCAAATAAAACATCAATTAGGAAAAAATAGTAAAACAGTTCAACGTCACCATAAAAGAATTCTTTACTAGGCTTTACCACTTTTTGTGTGTATGTTTGTGTGATTGTGTGTGTACGTGAGCCCACATGTTTGTAAAACTGTATACGTGTGTGTTGGGAGGTAAAGTTGACATTTGGGGTATTTCTTGATTGCTTTCGACCATATTTAATTGGATCCAGAGTGTATTACTGCGCGTACACACACGCAAAGACACAGTTTTTGTTTTTGTTGTTGTTGTTTTTGAGACAAAATTTCTCTGTGTAGTCCTGCCTGTCTGGAACTCACTCTGTAGACTAGGCTGGCCTCAACTCCCTAGTGCTGGGATTAAAGGCGTACCCCTAGATTTTAGCAATTTTTTTTTAATCAGGGCTAAAGAAAATTGACAAGCGTACACACGTGGCAACAAGCAAAGGCAAAAGAAAAATCAAGTTTGCTCTCTCAGAGTCTTCATTTTTTGAAGTTTCCTTACCATAATACATAATCTAATTGCTCTATGGCTTTAAATGGCTGTCCTTAAATAATATGTTTTTAAATTGTTTATTTTTATGAGGGTGGGTAGAGAAACAACAAAAACCAAGTTTGCTTAAAAAAAAATGCCATAGTAAAATTTTATTCTTTGTAAGCTCATAAAAAAATAAAACCGAAAGAAATTCTCATTAAATCGTTTATTTTTTATTTGATAAGAAAGTAATCCAATAGAAAAAATTAATTGCAAAGCTGTTCAAGGGAAACAGAGAGGAGATTGGAGGTTAGCTCTATGTCCAGTGCTTTCCTGCTTGCAAGTAAGACCCTACTTTGATCTCTAGCGTCAGACGAGGACAGTGATGTAGGAGGAGGGGGGACGGGGAATGGGAGAGTACACGGACAGAAAAATACTATTCATTAGCCATAAATTCCTTGGCTTTGTTTTTCTTCTGCTTGGTTACCGATAGCTAAGACACCGTGATAGATGAGAACTATTTTCCCCCCTTTGGTTAATATTGTATTTTGAGTACGTCCTTGAGTTATTTAAATGTTTTCCTACACAAGATTTGAACGTGGTACGATGATCAATCCTCACTCAGAAAGGCAAACGGGATGGACATCAAAAGAGGGAGAGAAGAGGGAGAAAACAGGGAACAGGACAGGAACCTACCACAGAGGGACTCTGAAAGACTCTACCCAGCAGGGTATCAAAGCAGATGCTGAGACTCATAGCTAAACTTTTTGCAGAGCGCAGGGAATTTTATGAAAGAAGGGGGAGATGAAAGACCTGGAGGGGACAGGAGCTCCACAAGGAGAGCAACAGAACCAAAATATCTGGGTCCAGGGGTCTTTTCTGAGACTGATACTCCACCCAAGGACCATGCATGGAGATAACCTAGAACCCCTGCACAGATGTTGCTCATGGTAGCTCATTGTCCAAGTGGGTTCCCTAGTAATGGGAACAGGGACTGTCTCTGACATGAACTCAGTGGCTGGCTCTTTGATCACCTCCCCCTAATGGGGGAACAGCCTTACCAGGCCACAGAGGAAGACAGTGCAACCAGTCCTGATGAGCCCCAATAGGTAGGGTCAGATGGAAGGGGAGGAGAAC